CTGCTGGAGAAGCCCACTGCATCGGTGTGAGCCATTCCCAGCCCACGGCCTTTCCAACAGGCACTGGCCCTTCTCTCCCTGAATTCCCAGCACAGGGTGTTTCTCTCTTTTAATCCTGCCTATTTTGTGTTCCAAACCATTCACCGTGTTGTTTTCCCTGCAAGGGACAGTCAGGTGGGGCCGTCCTGCCCAGCCTTTAAGAGGGTTTAACACGCAGGTATCAGCTCTGGCTGGTATCAGCTGTGCTGGGTGAGCGAGGAAGCTGTTTTAATAAAAGCTCTGCAAGCCGCCGGGAGTGCTCTGAGGTGGCACCAGTTGCTCCAAGAGGCTGAGGAAGCAGGAAAAGCTGAGAAAATATGATGTGTAGGGCACTGAACAGAGCAATTTGCATCAGGCCTTTGAATAAAACAAAAGCAAAGGGGAAGCATCATTTTGAGGCTGGGAGGTGGGGACAGGGCAACCTGGTACTTGCCGGGCACGACTCTGGGCTGCTGGGAGGTCACAGACCCCAATCCCCAGCTGTGGGGTCTTTGGAGGCACTTGCAGGACATGCACCCTGTCCCCCAGCCCGCAGCACATCAGACTCCCCCGAAACAATACAAGAAGGTGGGAGCACCGGCTCCCAGCCCCACGCTTCTCCCTCTGTCCCTCTGCAAACCAGTGCCAGGCTCAGATGCACAAAGGGCCCCTTTCACCTTCCCTGTGGCCGCTAACCCTTTGGCATCCGCAGCAAGCATCCCTGCCCTGGAGACGTCAGTGACGTGGCTGGGAGCTGCCCCTGCTTGGAGTTAATCTTTCCCTTGGACACAGGTGGCTGCTGGCATTCCTCCTTGCAAGCCAAGGACCAGCAGGTGTCAGGGCCACAACCTTGCTCGCTCCTCTGCGAGCTGGAGGAGAGAGGAAAGGCGAGGCAGAGGAGCGTGGGCTGGAGCAGACAAGCCGTTTTAGCCAGGTCAAAGCTCCAGTGAGATGCAAAGATACTCCTTGGAGGGCACAGAGCTGGATCAACCCTGTGAGGTGCAGTGCCCATAAAGAGGGGGGCAGTACAGGGCTCATCCTGCACCTCTCTTCCAGTTGCCCCAAATCACCAGACGCTGGGGGCCGTGAGGGGCATGGGACCCTGCCCAGACTGCTGGCCCCATCTCCTTCCTCTGCATCCCCTGCAGCAGCTCCATGCCTGCAGCAGCAGCTGGGATCTCGTGCAGGCTCTAGAGCTGGCCAGGGCTCGACTTCTGCCTGGCACCAACTCCAAACCCGCCTGCCCATCCCCAAGACTGCTGGTGGTGGGGCTGCCCAAACCCC